ATAAAGAAGTTAAGAGAGTAAATGTCAAAAATTTGAGAGGAAAGTAAAAGGGAACCTATAGAATTGATGGAAACTATAAAGTGATCTAAAGAGGCTTGGAAGACTACAAAACATATATAGCAAAGAAAAAAAATAGTAGGGCAGGGAAGCAATTGCGTCTTCATAGTTTCTGTGCACGACAAAGAGAGAATATAGCAAGTGCATATGCCAAAATAGAATGATGGAGATAGTGAAAGATAGAGACAAGTGGGTAAAAGGAAGAGAAATCATTACAATGTTAGTTAATAAATGCAAAAATTTACGAAAGAGGCTTTAAATATTACAATAAAAAATGAGCCATACAACTGAAATAAATGAGTGAGTGATAAAAAAGATTATAGCAAACTTGGGTGAAGGAGATAGGATGAGTAGAAAAGGTGGGTATCTATAAAAGGAATGCAAGACATCAAGACGGAGAACTAAGGCATAAAAACATGCAAACTATTAGATATGAATACAAAGCAGTACATACAAACATTTTAGAATTACAGAGGGAGGCATAACAGCGAAGGGTGAAATAAGAAAGATTAAGTAAAAGAGATGATGTCAACGCCGAAATAAACCAAGCATTAAACCACGTAAAGGTCTATAGCAGCGCATCTCAAAGTCAAGTATCCAAGAGTTGGTGCGCAGAGCGGCGAGAGCAGGAGAATATATCTCCGCTTCGAGTACGAGAGCCATGCCGACGCAGGATAGACCAAGAAGTACGCCCATAGAAACGGCAGCCGCACACCAAATTGAGACAGGCTGCCTAGCCATGTCAGACGTCGACGACAAGTTAATCTCGTAGGAAGAATCCGAACTAGACTTGCCTAAGAGAAGAACCAGGGTTGAAACAAAGTAAAAGATAGCCAAGCAAGGGGAAAAAATACGAGAGAAGAGAATTAAAAAAAATAAAGAGTGAAGGATGCGAGAAAGAAATGCTGATGTAAAAGCTGGTTGAGAAATTAAGAAAGTAGAAGTGTAGAGTGATCACAGGTTACATTCATTAATGAATGAATCATAGCCGAATTTATGGCAAAGAACCTATGAAATCGAATTAAAAGTTGAAATCCGAACCTTACAATCAATTGCACACATCATAAGGATGCCGTGAGACTCAAAGTCATAAGAGCAGCAACGAATCCTTCTATAACAATTGTATTAACCTCGTTTCGTTTAAGATGATAAAGAACTTGTAGCTGAATTTTAACACAGTGATATGAATAGGCCTTATCATCCAGCATGGACTGCAGTCTAGACCTGACCTAGGTCAGATCAGCACCTGGCTGGTGCAGCACAGAGTCCAGACACGTCACAAAGGCACGTGAGCCACAGGGAAAATTCAATTACCAGTCATTCATCGCCTTAAGCGAAATGGGGTGAATACAGACCGTGGATATGAAGACCATGATGGTGTGGCCTTCTGTTTGCTCGGCACTAGAAGATAGAACAAAACTAGGGGCGAAGAGTGATGCCACAACGGTTGAACAGATAATTGGTCAAGGGGATTGCCTTCACTTGTAACTTTGATAAGTTGTAACTCTGTGCTTACGATGGCGCCTCATTGACGATGCCGACTACGATGCTGGTGAAACGTTTGGGAATGTACCAAATCAATGGTTCAATGCTGGAAATCACGAATACTATGACAGAGGACACGGAACTAGGCACGTTCCACAAGGTCTGCCTGACGCTACGATCGAGCTGCGAAAACAGGTTCGAACCAACACTAGCGTGAATACGGCTTTTATATTAGATCCAATGGTAATGCCGAAAATCTACTTATAAAGCGAAAACGAATCCTTTTGTTGCAAAAAGTGAGATAAATAAACTATAGCTCGAAGTGTCGTCTGCTTAACAACGCTGAAGATCCAGGCCACCCAATTTATGTTTTATGGTCCCGAGGAGGA